TGTTTAACATTCAGTTGCAAAACGTTTATCTATATTCAGAGCGAGAACGAATAGAAATAAATCAATGTTAGGTTTGATACGACAGGAATGAAGGGTGGAGTAATTTGAATTGCCATTGAAAACATAGTGTTTAGAAGGGTCAAAATTTTGAATTTTGGTTGTAATATCGGTCACCTTCGTGTTGAGAAGGAACAAAATTTTGAATTTTGGTTTTAATATCGGTCACCTTCGTGTTGCGAAGGGACAAAATTTTGAATTTTGGTTGTAATATCGGTCACCTTTGTACCACTTCAAAATTATTACTAGGCTTCTTTTACCCGAAAAGAGTAACACATTCTCCCAATGATGGTCACGTATTAAAAGTTCCCATTCCAACTGGACGTGCCGCGTATATTTATTCACAGATGTCTGAATTTTGTTCAAGCTATAACGTTGATACGTAATTTCCGGAGACGTTCCTATGATTTAAATGCTATAAAGACCACAACATCCCCTGAGTTAATGTACACACCAAGTCCGGAAGGTTACTGATATTATCAAATTCGGTTTTGCTTTCAAGTTCATAATATGTTAAATATTTTGTCAATTATTTTAGACTGAGTAATTTTTTACATTACCTTGGAGTTAAGTGAATTATTTTTTATTTACTATTCTTGCCACCTACATACCTCGTAAACATGACTAATTGACGTTTAGTCATAAACTGTCTGTAATAATGGAAATATGTGATGCTGATATCAGCTCTAACATAATAAGTGTTATAATTTATTATACTAAGAAAGTAATTACAAGGTTAACGAACACTTATATTACATATTGCAAGTAAAGGTACAATTCACCCATGTAAGTAACTGCTCAGGATGGTCAGGCAATCATGTCGGTCGCATGGAAGTCAACCCTCTATTGGCAAATGAATTATTCGAAAGAGCAAATTCCAAATAGTCTTTTAAAGAGGTAAGTGGTGTAAAGTTGAAGTCAACCCTTGGAAAGTTTTACGAACGCCATCACTAGTTTGTTGACGTAATGGAATATACAATTATGTGTAACTGTTCTAATTTTCCTAACCGTAATCCCGTCTGCTTTTCCGTCATTGAGACATCACCAAATGAGACTTGTCTCCGTTTTTGTGCATTTTCAATTAGCAACATGACGGGTTTCTCCAGTGACACATATTTACTAACCCTTTCGAAGCACATGAGATCCCCACCAGTTGATGGTGGGGTTCGTGTTGCTAAGTATAGTTTTTATATTTTGTTTTGATGACCTTTTTGTCTTTGCTTTGTCTGTCTGTTTTGCCATGATGTTGTCAGTACTCCTTCGACTTATGCGTTTTGAATGTCCCTCTGATATCTTCCGCCTCTTTTTTAATTGATTAAATCTTTTAAAAGACAATTTGACAAAGTTTATATATAGTATATGCATGGTAATATTACAACAACCACCGGAAAAAAAGTCTTCAACATTGAAATATCTAATATAAAAGTAAACAAATTGTGTAAACTTATTTTCTGCACCAAATAAGCGTAAACTGTCATATCCCATTACATTTAAGTCAGTTGGTTATCTTTCAACTAATCATAATTGTAATCAGGAAATAGTCTATACATCATGAACTAAAACATAAGTTTTTGGTGGTGACCCTTAGAAGAAATAGAGTGATTTGATGTTTTGAATATAAAAGAGACGAGAATGTGTTTAAATACGAATCCTAATTTGTATTAGATAAAGGCAACAGTAGTATACCGCTGTTCAAAAGTCATAAATCGATTAAGAGAAAACAAATCCGGGTTACAAACTAAAACCGAGGGAAACATTTATCAACTATAAGAGGAAAACAACGGAACAACAGAAACACTGAACTGCAACAAAAACAAACGCCAAAATACATAGAAACGAACTATTTGATAACAACTGCCATATTCCTGACTTGGTACAGAACATTTAAAGAAAAAATGGTGGGTTGAACCTGGTTTTATGGCTAGCCAAACCTCCCGCATATATGGCAATGTTAAAAAATATCGCTAAAGTGACAAAACTACGTGACAAAAAAACAGTACAAACAAACGCACGAAAACTCAACACAGAGAAATGCATAAATAAATAATATAATAGTACATTACAACATATAAACCGCAGAATAACAACCGACATCTTCCATTAATGACAGTACAGGACACCACAAACTGTATGTCACATGAATAGATCAACGCCACAAAAAGTGAAGTATTTCTGTGACGTATATATAATCTTGAAATTCATACAATTATATGGAGCGAGATTCAAAAATTCACAATTATTTTCACAATACTAGTCCAAATAATTATCATGATTATGACGGTATTGAAAGGCTCTTTTAAATTAATGCTGTGACGACGTCATAATCATTTGGACTAACACAATACTTTATCCATGGAAAATGAAAATGAACTCAACTATACTGACAAATAAGGCATATGTGAAATGTACCGAAAATATAGAATTCAAACCACAAACGATAAGATATAACACAATATCCAACCGTACTTACAAAAGAAACATCATAACTAAATACATGAATGTTGGATGTATAAATACCGAGACACGTCGTATAGCAATGCAAATTCACACTCGACAAAACAGTCCTATTCGGGAATAGGTCACGTTCGGTACTTAGCAGACAGACGACGTAGATGGTAAACCACAATCTAAGACGTGGTAAAAATGTCGTTAGTTAATTTAGAAACAAACACATCGTATAGATCAACCAATTCGTGATGGTGTCCATAAAATTTACGGAGTGTCATTTTTAATCTTTCCTCCTCATAACTCTGTTGGAGCAGTTTCTGCGTAAGGAGCACACTTCATGTATATGAAGACCGTATACATTTATCCGGATTGGTTACGTGCTGGCTCTTTAGAAAACATGAAAGTGAATTTTACTGATACCGAGGCTTTGATTCCCTTGTATGTAGCGTTTTAGTGGAGAAGCAGAAACATCAATTTACATAAATATATATGTTCAATCAATTCTTGTATTATTTAGAGAACTTTCTGTCTAGTCTAAACATAACACTTTTTATATTAAAAATGTACTATATTTTGAACGTCGTATGTTACCCACTTTTTTCTATCAGATTGTGGCCTACTTGACATTAACCTGTTCTCTCACTCTCAGGTGTAAAGCCGTAAGTGTATTATCAAAGTGTAACAATATGTTCAGTGTCAGGTTGAATAAAACGAACAGATTAATTCTCAAAGAAGGCCATATTGGTATCCGTAAAATCTAATGCCGTAGTTTAATGAGTTGGTTTCTACTAATAATCATACTTTAATTGAATCAGATACCATAAGGAAAATCATTTTGTTTCGAGTTTAACATTTCCCATTTACCTATTCATATATCAAGTATCAAAACCTATAGCATGAAATGCCGTTTTGAGGCAGAGTAAGGAGCCATTTCGTTTTAATATATGTTTTACAGAAAATTTCAACATTGTTTTTGCTCTCTCTATAATTTACGTCATTTCAATGATATTACTACTTAATTGATGCAATGATTTTTTTTAAACATTATTGAGTTCAATTTCTGCAAAACTGACTCCATATATATTGTCTCTAAATATCATCATGTTGTATATCCTTCTACAATTTTCACCCCTTGAAGTATATACTTAAGATGACATTGACAAAATTATTTGGATTTCATACTTGGGCATGTCAAAAAACGATTCTTGGCAAAAAGTGATGAATATACCAATACCTCATTCGTAGGTCTTTACTGCATTACATAAGAAATAGTGTGTTAATAGATTCTGTCAAATACAGCGACATCCTTGATGTATCAATATTGTTATATTATAATGTGTACTTACCCAGAGCAACATGACGGGTGTCATATGTGGAGCAGGATCTGCTAACCTTTATCCGAGGTCATGTCCGGTTTTTAGTTGGGTTCGATTTTCATAGTCATAAGGCTGTTATATAGTGTTTTGTGGACTGTTGTCTATTTATAGTTTTTCGTTTTTGCAATGATTTTGTCGGTCTCCCTTCACTGGTCCGATGCCACTACTGGTAGGGGTCCCCCGAGGGTATCACCAACCCAGTAGTGAGCACTTCTGTGTTGACATGATATATCAATGATGTTGTCATATTTATAAATTAACTGTTAACAAAACTCTAAATACTAAGGACTTTCTACCCCAGGAATAGATTACTTTAGCTGTATTTGGCAAAACCTTTCGGAATTTTGGGTCCTCAATGCTCTTTAACTTCGTACTTGATTTGGTCTTTTAACTTTTTGATTCGAGCGTTACTGGTGAGGCTTTTGTACTATATTATAAGCCTGGTATCTTTGATAAGTTTTCTTTTAGCATTACGGGTATCGGATCTAGCTTTGTTTTCCTCTGCCTTTTTATAAGAAACTAACCAGTAAGGCCCATTTACCAACAAGTTCGGTTTAATGACCGATGAAGTTCTTTAGTCTCCTTTGTGAGTTTGTTTAGTATCAAACAGTAAGTGTTTCTAAAATAACAGGATTAACCCAAGGCTATTAAAAGGAAAATGTAAAGGAACATATGAAAAAATGACGAAAAATATGTGTCTCTTAGTACATCTTATAAATGAAATGGGAGACTGACATTTCTTTACGTAATAATCGTCCTCATTTTACTAAAATGTCATAAGTGTTAAAAGAAATAACGAGTATTGAATTGAGAAATGGCAGCAAATTTTATCACCGCTTTTTAAAGAACATCGAATTACCTAAACTTTGCATAACCGTTTCTCTCTGTATGATTTTTTTATGATAGATCTTTTTTTTTTACTTGCGTGTGTATTTACCTTAAGATTTTTGTCAAACATGATTTTTTGAAGCTTAATACATTGAAATGAATACTATATGTTTGGTTTTATATATTCTTAAGAACACCTTTTATTGGTTTCTAGGTCGTGATTGCGACTATGGTTTGAAGACAGGGGTTTGCTTTCTCAGCTTTTATGTTATATGAGAAATATTTACATACCCTTGCTGATCATTTAAGTCAGTCACATCCACTTTTACGGAATTTGTTTCCTGTTCATTTTCCTTTTCAGGTTTAACTTTATCATTTGATTTGTCCGGAGAAAAACCTCGTTTTGAATTGTTCTGTACTTTCATTGCACTTGCTGCTTCTTGCTTTTTAGATTTTTCCAATGAATATCCAGGTTTAATTTGAGGTAGCTTTTTAGTTGAAACTCCTTGTTTTCCTGGTGATGTTGCTCTGGTTTTATCTTCATTTCTAGCAGTTTCACTGCTTTTCCTTTTCTCGCCAGAGGATTCATTCTGATTGATTAAAACGTGATTTTTTACAACTGGACGTGATGGTGGTTTAATCTGTTGTAAACTGCTCAAAGAAATTGATTTTGAATTTTTGACATTACTATCTCCTAGCGTTTGAATCTCTTTAACGCTTTTTTCAAAGTCTGGTGACTTTTGCGATCTAATAGATTTAGTATCCTTAATAGAATTTTGTGATGAAACAACTTCATACTCAATATCTCCATTTGCATAATATTTGAAATCGGATGCTTCCCCGTCTAATTGTTTTGGTGATTGTGGATTTGATCTTGAGGATATCAACACGTCCGAGGTAGGAATATCACTTGATTTTGAAGATATCAATATGTCCGAGGTAGGGATATCATTGCCTTTTGCGTGAAAAGAAAACTTTCCTTTATTACCTGAGTTTGAAGCATTCACACTTGTGTCTACATTTTCTTCATTTACATTGACTCCATTAAATCTACGATATTTCTCTCCATTTTTATATAAATCTCCCGTTTCTTGATCTTTTACAATCTCCATGAATTTATTTGAGTGTATTTATAGTCAATGTGTCCATTCGTGTCAGAAACGTTTATAATACTAGTCGCTAATGCAAAAAAGAGAACTCTACATCTTGTATTATTTCAAACTCATTTCAAACATGAATACAAAATATTTCTTATTAGCTTTTTATATTTCAACCGTACTTTAGTTACTGGGAATTTATTCATGTGTGCAGAGTAAATGTTTTAAAGTTCTTAGTTTGTTTTAAATAATTACGGTTGTAAAGCTTGGACTAGTTTTGAAGATCGTTAAAATCTAAAGGAAACCCTTTCTCATGGCAGATTATACTTTACCACTTACAAAAAGGTTTGACGTTGTGCTTTACCATAATGATATTGAAATAGTTACTGTTTAGACATTTAACAAATAGAATCTTTTCAATTTTGTTTTAATTGGAATGTAGTGTTTAAATGTCTAACCTTCACATACTAGTAATTGGTATACATTAATCGGTTATATCGGACGTTTCTCTATTAGAACATTGAAAGGTGTTACATGTTGATATGTGATAGGAAAATGGACTTCTTAATTCTATCCTTGTTTCGTGTCAGGGATATTAATTGTCGCCATTTCAGTCAATCCAAATGATTTTAAAAACCGATAATCTGACTGATAGTGGTTGAGTTGTGGAAATCAATATATATCGTTTTACTATAATCTAACGGTATGATGAATCTAGTTTCGATTGCTTCTCCATTTAATACACTAGTAACTGTTTTCACTACTGAAACGGTCATTTTAAACTGAACAACTCTTAAATGCATGAATTTACCGCAAGGAAACTTTTTTCAGTTGTCCAGTACATGTTCAGTACACTGGCTACCTCGAGCGATTAAGTATCGATCAGTACTGGTTCAGGTAATTAAGAAAAAACGCCTTGTCATCAACATCGAGATCTTAGGCTAACTTGCCGTATGGGGAGGATAGTAAGAAAGCATATAAGCCATTTTAAGTAGGAATTTCAAGATGTTCAAAGTCTTAATTTCGAATTAGATTTTAATTTCATGATTCAAAATTTATAAAAAGTTGGAGCAATTTCACCTTTATTTTATTGAGGTCATAATCAAACCATATTACAATCTTTATAACCACACACAAATTTCTAAGGAAATTTCAGTTTTTTATCGTCTTTCAAATACAAATTAAAGCATCTTAGTGACTGATGTCTGTCGATGCAAAATTATACAAAGCATGTAAAATTTGCAACATTACATCAAAATTATCTTCAGAAGTGATGCAATGTGAAAATGTGACAAATTACATTTTGAGCTTTGAATATACTATTTGGATTTAAAATATTCCGATTCAACTAGTCTTCATCTACTTTCGGTTTTGTCCCAGTGATTGAATAAAACTCTTGGCTTATTGGCCATACTAGCTCTTTAAATTTCATAAATGTTTATTACCAAACAAAAAGGTGGAAGGCATTCAAACTTATAATTCGAAGGGAAACTGACAACGTCATGGCAAAAACAAAAACAAAAACAAAATACAACGTAGAAATAAAAACAAAGCAACACGAACCCCAACATTAATTGGGGGTGTTCTGAGATGCCCAGAAGGGTAAGCAGACCCTGGTCCAATAGTAACACCCGTATTACTGCTCATTTGTAAGTACGCATTTCAAATCACAGTAACAAGAAAAAACAACCCGATATTGATATAGAAAAATTACACTTTTTTCAAAAACTTGAACGCTGCATCGGAAGGTGACCAAAATGTGCGTTTTCCAGACATTGATCCCATACAACGTGAGCAGATTAATGAACATATAAATTCGCCTTTTTCACAAGATGAAATTCTTTAGTGCATTAAGAAACTGATGGTGGAGGAATGACAAAGCTTGCGGAGAAGACGAAATTATAAATGAATACATAAAATCCACATCAAACCAGTTTATATGCATTTATGAGAAACTTTTTAATATTATATTTGATAGAGGTTTAATTCCAGAAAGTTGGCTAATTGGTACTATTAACCCTATACATAAAAATAAAGGCGACTTTAAAGATCCAAAGAATTATAGACCAATTACTATTGGTAGTTGCTTTGTAAAATTGTTTACTGCAATCTTAAATAAAAGACTGAATGAATATTCAGACGAATTTATTATCATTCAAGAAATGCAATGTGGTTTTCGGCAAAAATATTCTACTACAGATAATATCTTTACCTTATATTCTTTTTTTGAATTATTGAAATGTAAGAAAAAGAAATTATATTGTGCCTTTATAGACTTTGACAAGGCATTTGACACTGTATGGCGAGATGGTTTGTTTTATAAAATGTTATTGAATAATATAAATGGTAAGATGTTTGTATAAGGTAATATTGAATATGTACAGTGATATTAAATCTCGCATATCATATAATAATTGTACTAGTAATTCGGAATACTTTGCTTGTGACAATGGTGTACGACAAGGAGAAAACTTATCACCTTTTCTATTTCCTTTATTTATGAAGTACCTAGAAAATTTCTTAGTCAGTAAAAATATAGCAGGACTTAAAACTATAGCAGAAGATCTGGAAAGAGAATTAGAAATATATCTTAAGTTTTTTTATTATATTATATGCAGATGACACGGTGTTGTTGGCCGAGACAGCACAGAATCTGCAGACGCAACTCAATGCCTTCCATGATAATTGTAAGGCTTGGAAATTGAAAGTAAACGTTGACAAAATCAAAGCCTTAGTGTTTGGTTTTGAACGTTTGCCAAACAATCTCCGATTTTCTTACAATAACACTAACATTGAGATAGTAAAGCAGTTTAACTATTTGGGGATTGTTTTTACTAAAACGGTTAATTTTAATATGACAAAAAAACCCAACATTTATCCGATAAGGCCTTAAAAGCCATGTACAAAGTCCTGAAAATAGGAAGGATGTATCAGCTTTCTGTAAAATGTCAGCTTGATCTTTTTGACAAAATTGATCAAGCCCATTCTGTTTTATGGGTTCGAAGTATAGATTTTTAGTAATAATGATATATTAGAAAAGATAAATTTAAAATTCTGTAAAAAATTGCTCTTAAATCTGAAGTCCTCAAACACCAAATTACATGGTTTACAAGGAACGAGGTCGCCATCCGGTCGGCATAGATAAAAAAGTTCAAGCAGTATTATTTTAGGCAAATTCGATATCCGGCAAACAAGCAAAGTTTTTCTTTATATTATATCAACTTTCTCGCCATATGAACGCTTACCACAACATGCAGACTAAATGAATTCTGTTTAGATCAAAAAATATTTCAAAATTGTGGTTTCTCATATACATATGGGAAACACAAATTTCCTTAATAAAGATTGGTTAAAAACTGTTATAAAGCAAAGATTGTTAGTAGATATAAGAAGATGTGGTATGAGTGCCAATGATACAACTCTCCATTCAATTCAAAATTTATAAAAGTAAACCATTATAGGTCAAAGTTCGGTCTTCAACACGGAGCCTTGGCTCACACCGAACAGTGAGCTATAAAGGACCCCAAAAATTACTAGTGTAAAACCATTCAAACGGGAAAACCAACGGTCTAATCTATATAAAAAAACAAGAAATATTATAGACCAGTTTCTTAAGATTGGAAATTCGTCAAAATGTATTAACTACAAAAATTTTAAGGAAAACTGGGAATTTGAGGAATATTCAATTTTGGACTTAAAAGATGCTATTGTTCTCTGTCGACTTCGAACGACTAATACCATATTGCCGATTGAAACAGGAAGGTGGCAAAACGTATCAAGAGAAAACCGTGTTTGCCTCTAATGTAACAATCGACAAATTGGAGACGAATATCATTATATATTCGAATGTACTTTTGTCGAACAAAAACGTAAAGAGTATTTAACCTCATATTTTGTAAAACGTCATAATACAGTCAAAAACTTATGTTGAGTACACGAAAACCAGTCCTGAAGACACTTTGTTCATTTATAAAAATATTAATACTTATGTTTGTCCTTCTGGCTAGTGACTTTTGTAACTTCTTTCAATTGTTTTGTATATATTGTAAATAGTTATTGTTGTTATCTCTGTACTGATGTTATACATTGGTTTTGTGAGTATAAAGATATATAATATAACTAAGTACGTGATAATTGTAAATTTTCTATAAAATAATTGTAACAAACAATTGTCAAGATTTCTTTTAAATGCTGTGCTTTATTTCATAAAAACTGCAAGGATTCCTCATTTTCAATGCACACTATGTTATACGTATTTAATATATTTTTGTGTTAGACTTTATTTACATGTGTCAGCACTTAAATTATAATCCTTAGTTTGTTGTTCCCAATATTCGTAGTATAATAATGTGCAAATGAAAAGATATTTTATTCTGTACTGATCTAGTCCCCTGAATAGGAGCTACAACTTTTCAGTCTTTTTGTCAAATGACAGTAAATTCCACCGCATCAGCCATGATCTCAGTACTATTTTGACGACTGAGGAAATTTAAGATCTGCTGAACATATCTTCAGTAATCAACAATTTTACTGTTCTGATCAACGAATACTGAAATATCAGAACAACTAGCTGGAACGGAATAATTGTCTGATAGAGAAATTTAATTTCTGATTTTCTTGAAATTCGCTTTGAAAATTGAAGTTCACTATATTTACATATTTATATGTACAGCTAAACAGATATTTCATTTACTCGATTGGCAAAGTTTGGAACTTACATACAACCAGATCCTTGACAAAAGTTGTTTAATATCTTCATTTTCATGCAGTATGGTAAATATGCATGTGCTTTGCATGTGCTTTGTTGATAACTGTATAAATGACGTATTTTTAACATCTTGTTTATTCTAAATCAAAACATACGAAATCAATTATTAGGAGGCACAAGATTTAAAAAGCATTTTTTCAAAGCAATTTATTATATTTTGTTTTAATTATGTCAGGTAATCTAGGTTTTCAAAGAATATTTTGTGTAAGACTTAAATTTTGTTCGACACAAAAACTTAGGAAATAATATTTTTTATCAACAAAACAGCTGTATACAAATTAGAAGGTTTAACTACTATACAACTAGGGATATCCCACCATTTTCTTCTAAAACTACCTGTACCAAGTCAGGAATATCATAGTCGTTTTTTACTTGTTCTGTTGGTTGATAACGTTTGATTTTGTCTGTTTTTAT